TGTAAACACATTTTAGTTGCATTGCTTATTTTATTCATTCATGGTAATAATCTTCTCAACTAACTCTGCTACAGAAAGCAGATAAGCATACCCCCCACATTTATTAAAGATGATTCTCAAATATAATTTTGATGAACACCTAAGGGTCATTCAGAAATGGGAAAAATGTACTAGATTTGTTGATTCCTACCTTCGTATCCACCGCAAATGTAGACCATGAACCTCTTCTCTTCAAGAAGAGACAGAGGATCCTCCTTTTCTTTCTGCCTCAGGTATGTGTTGTGGGTCTTGTTGTCGCTTCTTTCGTCCACATCATCCTGATTGGAAGTCCTGCCCTCTGTCTCACTGTCCTTGTTTATGCAATCTTTTCCCTGAATTTCCTCCTCTTCTACCCCATCTTCCCCAAGTAGTGCCTCCATGCTCTTCAGTAACTTTGATGAGTCTTCTTTTGTTCTTCCATTCTCATGTAGGTCTGCTGAAGCCTTGTCCCATGAAAAATAATAACATCTGGTCTGAGAAAGGTCTGGAATGTAGTTTTAATTAAGATCTATGAAGAGACACTATCTCAGACACAACTGTATGTTTTTCTTTTCCTTCAATGCAGGCATAGTCACATTTGTTGACTTGTCAAAGTCGATTAAGCACATACCTTAAAAAAACTACCTCGATGCAGTATGTCAGTTGTGCTATACTCTGATAGGCGATGGTTCTGTTCTCTAGGAAGAGTTTTGCCTGTGTTTTGTTTCATTTGCGGCTGACACTGGAGACACATTGCATAACTTGGCTGCTTTAGTTATAAATGAATGAACAAAGATCGGAAACTCAATAATAGGACCTTAGTGTCATGGCCTGAAACACTTACTCTGTGGTGATTTGTGGTTTTAGACTCTTCATTCAGCTTTGTATCAAGCCCTTTTGTCCTCTACAAAATAAGAGCATCAGACAGAGTATGTTAAGGCCTTGCAAGCTGTTTCATCTATTTACTAAAGGGTCCTCCACTCATGGATAAAGTCATTCATAACATAGAAGAATTTGTTTGGCAGAGGTAGAGAAAAGTGTGGTTGAAATCAAACCAGGCTGAGATAGCTCAAGTCTGTAAGTTTGGGCAACTCCAGAAAAACTGGAACCAACCAACCCTGTTAACTTGGATTTATACATTCATACATCAGTGAGCTACAACATTCTGACCACTCACAAAAGCAAATGTAATTAATTTCTTCATAACAAAAGCAGCATGTATTAGGTGCTAGCTGTATTTCTAGCACATGAAGATCCAAGAGGGGCAGCAGTGGTTGGCACTGTCGCCTCCCAGTTTGAAGGTCCTGGGTTTGAATCTGTGTGATTTTTTTGTGTGGAGTTTGCAGGTTCTCCCTGTGCCTGCGTGTCCAAAGACATGCTGAGGTGAACTGGGGATTCTAAATTGTCGGTATGACTGTGAGTGTGTTTGGATGGACCCCTTCCTTCGCCCTAACTCAGCTGGGATATGCTCCACCCCTAATTTGGTTTTCAAATTAGTCACATTTAGTTGTGGGTAGCAGGAGGAACATATTTAGTGTTGTGTTGCCTGGTCCTTATGCAATACACAAAAACAGAAGTAAACAAACAAGATCCCTTTCTCGCCATCATGGACTGTATACAGTTCATGAGTTTCAGAAAGTTTTACAGTATTTTCAAGTAAAGTCACAATCTCTTTCTCTAGAACTATTTATTTCTTGTAGTCGTATTGCTTGAACAACATAGGTGTATTGTTTTCAGATCACCTGACACCGTGATGTTTGGCCGTCCGTTATAGGTGGGAGTGTCAGAGCTTCTTTACTCTCCTGCAAGACATGAAGTGTACAGTATTTCATTTGTGCCATAAAGACTGACATGTAGTTTCTAAATAATAATAATAATTACAGCACAAGACTACACACAGTACTGCTTAAAAGTTTGAGAACCCTTTTGAAACCCTTTTTTGCTTTTGAAAAGAAAAACTATGATGAAAGTACACTCATTGTATGTCCATCTAGACAAAGTCATGATACAGACAATCCAAATCAATTTAAATTTATTGATTTAAACAGAAAATATTTTTTATTTAACAAAAGCGTTAGATTTAACAACAGTCCTGTGGTGCCTCCTTCAACAGAAATTACCCAAACACATTTTCTTCCATCATGTCCTCTTCAAGAATATCTTGATGAGCCTCAGAACTCACAGCTTCTGATAAAGTCATTGAAGTCCTGAGGAAGAAAAACTGTTGCCGATCTTCACTTTCCCTTTATCATAATTCACTGATGGGGCAAAGTTCTATGGTGTGAGGTTTTCATTGTGGCTCATCTGTACTGAGAATGTCCTTGGCTTTGGGTCCTGATAAAACTGAGACCGGCAATTTTGTTCTTTTATGAAAAGCAGAGGCTTTTTCCAGCCAATCCTGCCATTGATAATTTCTTCTGTTTGTTGAAGTGTGTCAATCAGAGATGCAGCAGGAGACGTCTGTGAATCACTCGATCTTAGGTTATGGTTTGCGTTCACCTGTTGCATTATCTTTCTTGTATTTCTTTAATACATTTTAGGCCAAACTGTGGATGTATTTACACACACGTGAGCCTTTTCTGCCCAGTCATGTCAATTTCACACTAAAGTAACTCTGTGTGGAATTGATGAATACAAACCTGTTATTACATACTCTTTGTAAAGTCTGGTTGTGATTAAATACAATAAAAAATATGAAAACAATAGACACCTCCAATTTCTAAAGGGGCTTACATACTCTAAGCAGCACTGTCTAAATTTCTACAAAACATTCGAGCAAACCTAAAACTTTCTATATTTTATTTGATCTCAAATTTATTTTTTTTAAAATTTTTAAGCAGGAGCTAGAATAATTTAGCTGTAATATAATCTCACTGTCTCTATAAGGCTTTCAAAATTACTTTCAGCTGCTTTGGACTGGTGTTGTAGTCAAATAATAATAATAATTCTAAATCCATAATTAAAAAATATAAAGGATTTTCAAACAAACAGCTAATGTAGTCCATACATTATAAGTAACTCTGTATTATTTGATACAAAGAACACCTACTTTCTTCTTCTTCTTTGAGGGAAAAAGTCCGTTTTGGTAGTAGCTCCACATTCTGTCACCTTCTACTGATGCCAGCCATCCATGTGTCAAGTATGAAGCAAAAGACAAACTTCTCATCCTAAATTTCAAAATAAAACACCAACTGGTTCCATATATTTAAAAAATGAACTGCTTTACTATGACAATGGAATGAAGAGAAACTGTTTTCTGATAACTATTAGTATGTACCTTTAAAGCCACACCTGCTCCTTCTGAATGAAATTGTCTCCTGAGTTTAGCTTGTCCACTGGCAGAATTAAATAAATACATTTACATTCAATCTACACAGAAATACTTAAATCTGATTCTTTTCCAGCTTTAAGTGTCTGAAAAAGTTAGTGAGAATTTGTGGAATCATTTAAAGCTGTAAACTGTCCACCTAATACAATATACAACACAGTTCCTGCCACTAAAGACTAACTTTTTTAATCATCTGTACAAATTCGCCAAGTGCAGTCTCCCTCTATAACAAAGCCTTTCATGAAGTTTTGAAAATATGGCTTCCCTTTTTATGGATGCCTTTTAAAATATACACCTCCTTCTACAAGTATGTGTCTGCTTATTTTTGGTCAAAAAACAAAGACACCTGCAGTCCATCGATTACTTGCTAAGGTTTTGTTTGTCAGACGTTTAACAGGTAAAGTTCGTCATTTTTACATACGTGTTTTTTTGTCCAGTGCAATTTATTATTTGTAAGGAAGTTTCAAGAATTAGAAGATTATGTATTCCAACAGTGAAGCTTTTTTGGAACTTTCTGATGTGCAAGAAGAGGTCATGACACCCCTTTAATGTCTCAGATAATTTAAAAAATATATACATAATGAACTGCATCTTCAACTGTAGCAACATCCAACACCTCAATACTTGCGCAATACTGTCAAATAATTGGTTTTAGTTTTATTTTGGAAGCAAAACAACTCAACTTCCTCTCTTACTCAAGTAACTTCACACGAGCTAGTTGGGAGTAATGTAGCCTGAAAGCAGTCACCAGTACTTTAAATTCAATACAGGAGCTGGCACATTACTTATACAGTCAAGCAGGGAGGAAAAGGGCACTGGAAAACTATACTCGAGAAAAAGTCTTGTTACTTCCAATAAATTTTACTCAAGTAGAACTACTTGTGTAAAATTGTAAATGAGTGAAAGCCTACAAAAATATACTTTGAAATTAACATTTTTAAAAGGGTGTGAACACAGATCACCTTAATCCTTTGCTTTACGTAGTCTGTGCTTGAAACTGACTAGAATTTGCAGATGTTTTCTACTTCTTCAAACCAGCAATAATTTGACTAACTGTGTTTCTTTCATTCACATGAAACGCAGCAAACAATACCTAAGACGAAAGACACACAAAAAGCCGCAGTTCTTCCGAGGCAGGTCAGTGACGGCCACTTATGAAATCTCATTGGCCAGCCTGGATGCGATTCAGGGAAACTCCAAAGCAACAGAGGTGCTCACATTTACACACAGCACAACGCAACACGGCAGTAACTTCATGAATTACTTACAGCTATAAATTATTCCTGAAATGGAGACAGGATTGATCAGGATCTAATGATAAATGACACTGTGTGCACCGTAGCTGTCTAAGCTGCATCGAAATCCTTTGATACCGCTGAGTCTTGTTTGAATTTTTCCCCTCAAATACACAAATAATCCTCGAGTATTCTGAACAGCAGTCACTGTAGTAACCGAAATGTGAAGCGTACCCGTATTAGTCTGTGCACATCAGATTATTAGTAACATTAGAGGCGACACGACATTGAAAAGCTTCTCCGATTAATTAGTGAATGTAATTTGTTAATTCCATCACTGATACTAAGACACACACAGAACTGTTGCAGGACAAACTCCCAGATAACAAAAAAAAAAAAAAAAGCAGTGGAAAAAGACATTTTTAGACAACCAGTGGACCATTTTATTTATATATAAAATGTTTAATTGATAGGGGGAAAAGGAACACTTATCAAAATAAGAAAATGATGAAAGAAATAACATTTTGTGTGTTATTAAAAATTTCTCTGCTTTCACAAAGTCACATGGTATCCTAAAGTAACAGCAGGATGCTACTTGACGCGTCAACACTTCCAATTTAGAAGCACAATCCAACGCTGTTTGCTCCAGTGCCTGGCAGCTGGGCCTAACCTCACAGACTGAAAACATGGCAGTGGCAGCGGGTAAGTCTATCTCGAGCACACTTCACCCTGTTGGATGACGGAGCGGGATATTTGAGCGCTAATTGAACCGACAAAAAAAACCCGATGGTGTGCTCCCCCTTCAGCTGGTTGCGGCGCACGAAACACCACAAACAATAAAAAACACAGCGAGGGCTTCTAATATAGCTCCCAGCTCAAAATCACGGTTTGGCTAGGAGAGTGTGTTTACCGTTTACCCCAGCCTGCTTTGGTTCTCAGGGTGGAAGCAGCCATGTTGAGCGTAACATGAAGCTGACGTTGAATGTGGAGGCATCTAGACGGGAGCAGCAGCGTCGGCGGGCTGCAGGAAGATCACACTTTTCTGCAGCTTTTGCATGAAGCAGATCGTTTGCTCCCAGGTCTAGTCGTCGTCCTTCCCTCCTGTTTTACTCAGCTGCAGCGGATTAGAAAACAGTTAGATGAGGCACTGGGTTGAGAATTTATCAACAAATGTTTGAATCTAGCTGCTTTTGTTTACTTACATGCTGAAGGTTGATCAAATTGCAACGACCAGGGAGAAAAGACACAAGAACATGATACAGTTAAAGACACTGCAGGCTTATTCTCAAAAGGTGATCAAGTGCACCATCTTGTGGAGAAAAGCTGGAATGAGCCTACCTTGATGACATCAACCCAGTTCCATCCTCTTGGTAGTTCTCCCTTGTTATCTGAAAGCAGAAAGAACATTGTTATGATCTTTAAAATACTGGCTGTTTATGTATATGTCTGAATTACTACAAAGCCAAACGTAAACACCATTTCCTGTTAATTGAAAGTTAAATCTCAGGCATTTTTTTTTGTTTCTGTCACAGTTTTGTTCACAGTGGTGTTATTTTTCACTGCAATAAAAAGTGTCCCAAACCTCTATGAAAAAAGCACAAGAACAGCTAGAAATAGGAAGAACTCAAAAACATATTTTCTGCTGTATGACAGGGTTATAATGCCATAAATCATGAAAAAAAAGTCAAAGCAACACTTAATTGATTATTCTTTTGACAAAGTTTCTTAACATACATAAGTACCCATAAGTGTTATCAGCACTGGGGGAAAAATGGTGGCTCCACACTCTATAGATATTTCACTACTTACATTTAATCCATCTGCTCTGTGTAAGCACAGCCTGCAGTTCAGCCAAAAAGTTCTTGAATTTCTGTTACAGCTTCTCAGTTGTGGAAACAATCACAGAATTTTTCTTTCTTTTTTTTTTTTTTTTTTTTTTTTTACAGAATATGGTGCAACCAATTGTATTTTTTGGTGATTGTTTAACATGAAGTATGTAGAATAAAGTAAATTTGATGAAATGTCATGGTTTTAAACTTTGGTTGTATTGACAGATCTGCATGCTGCAAATGATTAGTTTAAAGATGATCTGAAAAGTTCAGAATCTGATGAGTTGTTTTGTTTGAAAGGTCTCTGGCTCTAATAAATGGTGTCATTTTGTTGATTTGTTACAGAGGTACATCCCTGCAAGCTAATATTTAAACCAAGCAAATATGTCTGAAATCACAGGAAACATGTTTTTTCTGGTTCAGAATGAGCCTTTGGGGGTAACTATGCACGACAATACGATCTATCCACGCACAGTAAAGGCAAGAAGTCAGCGCTACCTTACTCAATCGAAATCTGTTCCTTTTCCTGTCAAAGACAATATCTAATATGTTTGAGTAAATGAAACCCAAATTTACTTTTTTTTGTGCTTCTTTATTAGGAATTTTCTAAGGGGAAAACTCCTTTGGGGACATAGTTCAAGATAAATGTCTTTGTGTGTCCTGTTGGTACCTAGTTTCCTCCAAAATCCCGAAAACTCAAACAAGTCAGTTCAGCTCCAAATTATCCATCCATTATCTATACACTGCTTAATCCTCATTAGGGTCGCGGGGGGCTGGAGTCTATCCCAGCTGACTTAGGGTAAAGGCAGGGGACACCCTGGACAGGTCACCAGTCTATCACAGGGCTACACTTAGAGACAGACAACCAAGCACACTCACATTCACACCTACGGACAATTTAGAATCACCAATTAACCTCAACATGTTTTTGGACTATGTGGGAGGAAGCCGGAGAACCTGGAGAGAACCCACCCTGCACAGGGAGAACATGCAAACTCCACGCAGAAACATCCCAGGTGTCCTCACTGGGACGCGAACCGGTGACCTTCTCGCTGCGAGGCAGCAGTGCTAACACCGTACCACCTTGCAGTCCAGCTCCAAATTATGCTAAACCTAATCAGGTTGCTTAAGATCAGTGCAACTTCAACAGAAGAAGAGTATGTTTATAGAGGCTCTTTTTTTTTTTTTTTTTTTTTTAACACGCCACGCTGCCATCAGTGTTGCCCTGCTTTCATCTTTTTGGGTCCACCACATTTTGGCCTCTTGGGTTTTACTGCAACTATACTCATTAGCCACATGATTTTATTTTATTTTTTTGGATGACATTTGCTTTGTCTGCTGCCTCTGAAACAACAGAAGTGTTGGTAGTGAGAAATAACTCTCGCTGTTTCCTTGGTGACGTCCACAAGTGTGATCTTTGTCAAACACACTTGAATAACGGCAGCAGCTGATTATTACTACACTGTTCAGATAGTTCAGTTTTGCTAATTCCAAGCCACTGACTCTAATTGAAAGCTCCAGCAGAATAATTCTGTTCCAGCACCTGACACCAAAGCAGCAATGTAATGAGGGTAATGCGTGTCTCTTCAGCTTCAGATGTTAAATCACATCCATCCCCACAACCACAGCTAGAAAGCAGCTAAAATTCACTGCCTCACTTTTCTGTCACAAGACAGGACAACTCTGGAAGAAGTGTTGACATTTCATATCAGGATCGACATGATATTCACCCTTTGAAATGCTGAGATTTGTTGAACAGCTGCACCTGGTTTCTTTCTGTACGATGTTTACATCAGTCCTGCTTTGTTGTGTTGGTCTTTTACAGATAGGTCAAGTTACTGGGGAAAGGTAGTTGGCTTCAAAAAAGAAAGATAAACTTTTAAAAGTGTTTCATCTTGAGCGTATGTTGAGGCAAAACAAACTACTACATAAGAGTAGTTGTTTTGGCCATATTGCCCAACCCCAGGTCTTATTACTACTGGGTTCACTAAGATAAGCTCCTCATATAGCTACAAGTTTGAGATCAGGTGTTTTATTTTAAACACTATTTCACACACGTTGAGTTCAGTCTTGACTAATTACATTCAAGACCTATTGAGATCTGAGGCATGCTTTATTTTTTATGGGACTTAGCTTATGCCATTTTGAACAGTGTTGAAAATAAGATCAATCAACATGACCTACTGAGACACAGATAGAACATAGTTTGACTATTCTACCTGTTCTGTTGATTATCCTCCTCTTCTGGGCTTTAGTCAGCTGCTCCTTCTTCTCCTTCTTCTTTGCCGTTGACGTGGGAGTGGTCACCTCACTGGTCGATGTCAACGTCTGCAACGACAATAAATAATTGATCATTTTCTCCAAATCTGATCATCAATCAAACACTAAATAATAGCATCTTCTCCTATGCAAAAGAAAATGCATCACCAAAGTCACAATATGTAATATTTTTGGACGATATTAAGCGTTTTACATCTTTGAATCTACCTATAACATTGTAATGTAGGGAAAGAAAGAGTTCCACTTCAAGAGGCTGATATCAGAATACTGCCTACTATGTCTGACTGACAAAAAAAAGAACAAACACCACAGACATCACTGCTTAGTACTAAAGAGGTACTTATGTACTGACCACAGCAGTCACTACAGGCTTATGGTTTTCCATGAGAGTCTCCTGGTTCTCCTTTGCCCACTCAAACAGAGTGTACATCATTGCAGTACCCAGGTTAGTTTCCACCTGCTCCTCCAGCTTTGACAGGATCAGCTGCTTCGTCTCTGCAGAGCTGTTACGAAATCAACATCATGCAAACAGAAAAATCATCTGTTTAGCTGTACAGTCTTTCCTTAAAATGATATCTGTGATCAGTTTACGATCTGTATGTGTTATATATGTTATAAAACTATATCCCTAAACCATGTGTTATAGTTACATCCTTACATCCTGTTGTTGAAAAAGGCATCGAGGGAGATCTGTGGCGCTGTCTCTGGGTACGTCTCTGGCCATGTGAAGTCCAGGATGAATGCTTTGGTGTCCTCAAGTTCTCCTATCTGTTGTATAATATTGAAACAGTTGGTACAAAGTTACTAATGCAGAATAAATTGGAACATTTTGTAAAAGTGTTGAAGCACAGGTCATTTTAAAGCAATTTTTGGACAGTACAGAGGACATCACTCACCCTAAATTGGAAGGAAACTGGACTGACTTCCTTGAAACATTCATCACCCTCATAGATGGAGCGAAGAGCTTCCAGCTCCATCTGTTATTAAAGAATAAGGGCAGTGACAGCGGGTTTAGTCTCATGTACGTGGGTAGGTAATTATATCACCACCTTGTTCTGATGGTTTGCGTTCGAGACACCATTCAGAAATATTGTAAATTAAGCTTTACGGGAGTACGCATGATAGACAAATGACTCAAGATCTTTAACACGTTAACTGTAACTTTTTATTTAATTCGGCATATATGTCATTCTAAATGCATTATTACTTCCACTGAAATCAGCCTCTAACTGGCTAATGTCGATTGTTAGCTCATACAACTGTACATGGTAGAGGAAAACATCGATATTATATCGGTACAATATTGCTGTTAAATGTTCAACATATACACCGAATGGATTCGTAGACGTTTTGCATTGAGAAAATGTCTTGCCTTATATTTTATGTCTTACACATTCAGCCCTGTAGCTAAAACAAACTAAATCAGTAGACTTCTAAATGGAGTTTGGCGTGACATATTCTTCGCTATGAACGACGCCTATGAGCTAGAAAGACACTTGACACTGTGTCCCGACTGTTGTTTTAATGGCACAGAGCTCTTTCGCATTGAACAAAGCTAGCAAATTAGCCTGTTTGCTGTTTAAAGAGCAGAAAAGTCATCAGCCGCTAACCCAAGCTAATGCTACCAGACACGCTGGAGTCAAGCAGTTAGCAGTTAGCCGCTAACAGCAGCTAGCTTGCTCCTTCACCACCATCATCATCATTCATACCTCTTGATCCTCGTTGGCTGTCATGTTCTTCCTGTCGTTTCTGTATTATATACTCTCTGTGAAGAGTTTCAAACTTATTAAATTGCCGCTCTCAACGACCCATTTCTGTCATTAAAACTTTACTATGTTGTTCATTTCACAACTTCCCCAGCTTCCACAGTCAGAAAGTGCCACCATGATAATCTGCTCATGCGCAGTT